CCTCTTCCTGTTCCCCCAGGTGTCCGACCATCTGTCTGATTAACCTTTGTGTTGCAGGGCGCAGTGTCTGGCTCCGTGCAGGCCTCGGACCGCCTAATGAAGGAACTCAGGGAGATCTACAGATCACAGAGTTACAAGACAGGTGACTGCATTGACACATTCCCCACAGTGACAGGTCACTTTTTTTTATGTCAGCAGCAGATTGAAGTAATGCTCTGTGTTTGTGTCACGTTTCTCACAGGTATTTATTCAGTCGAGCTATTCGGCGACAGCCTTTATGATTGGCATGTCAAGTTGAGGACGTAAGTTCACATATTCAGTTTGTTTTAACATTTATTATATTGTGTAGTGTTTTCGGTTATATTTAACCTGTTCTTTATTACAGGGTAGACCCAGATAGTCCTTTACATAGTGACCTGCAGGTCCTAAAAGAAAAGGAAGGAATGGACTACATTTTCCTCAATTTCTCTTATAAAGTGAGTCCTCCTAATAATATTAGTCAATTGTTTTATTTGATAAAAGAATTTTCTGTAGACTCAAGCTTTTTGTTTGTTTTTTTCAGGATAATTTTCCTTTTGACCCCCCTTTTGTACGGGTTATTTCACCCGTGCTCTCCGGAGGGTGAGTGTGAAGTGCCAAGTTTTCATATAAAATCCTCTGAAGGCAGTATTCACTCAGTTTGTCCACAATTGTTGTGCACAATTTTATCAGTGGATTTTGACTTCTGTATGAAAGATTTCACTTAAAATACAAAATTGTCGCTTCATGATTGAAGTAACAAGACTGTGAAGTTCTTCATATTTTATACTGAATTTCTTTTTGTTCTCGATTTCAGTTATGTTCTTGGAGGAGGGGCCTTGTGCATGGAGCTTCTCACAAAACAGGTTTGTTAAAGTGTGATGCCTTGTATGACATGTCTTCCCTCACCTTTAACAGCACAGTTAATGTGTATTTTGTGTGTGTTTTCAGGGCTGGAGCAGTGCCTATTCCATAGAATCTGTCATCATGCAGATAAATGCCACACTGGTTAAAGGAAAAGCCAGGGTGCAGTTTGGAGCCAATAAGGTAAATGATGTCATTAATCTGGTCTCAGTGTCATACCATCCGACCATATCCAAAAGCAACACATTGCAAACAAACTGCTGTCAGAGAGGCGATGTAGCCCACACTTCACATGACAATTAGTTGATGGAAAAACTTAGACAACAGAGTAGTGGGAGAGGGTCAAAGAAATACCTTTTTCAATAATTGGTTAAACTATGCTTATGATGCATACTGGGGCCCTAAGAGGCCTTATTGTATGAAGCAGTTGGGTTTCAGTAGAGAATTCAAGAGAAGTGTCTCTAGTTATATCCTAGGTTCTATTTACACTTAATTTCAAGTGTCTTGCATTCAGATAAATGAGTTGTTCCTTCAGATTGTTTTCTGACAAAGGAAAACTTGCGAGGAGTAAAGGTTACGTTTGCGTCTTGCCATTGTATGCTTCTATTGGAGCTGATCAAGTTTTTTTATATAGCACATTTAAAAGCGATTTTTGGTCGAGCCAAAGTGCTGTACATGTAATAAAAACACATTACTTCAATCACAATAAAAGACAATAATTTACAACAGAAATATCAAAAACACAGGGAAATGTCAGGAGTCGTGCTCCGCTCTGACTAGAAGGCCAGAGAGAAGAAGTGTGTCTTTAGTAAGAACAAACTGAGAAAGCCTGATGGGAAAGAAAGATGGCAATTTACATTTTCCCTACTGCATGGAGAACAATTTCTGTGAATCTTACAGAACACTATTTGTTTATTTCAGAACCAGTACAATCTTGCCAGAGCACAACAGTCCTACAAGTCCCTTGTGCAGATACATGAAAAGAATGGTGAGTAAATATTCCTAAATGTCTGAGTGTAGAAACACAGTGGTTTGGATCCATTTGCAAAGAGGCTTCTCTCTCTGTCTTCACAGGCTGGTACACACCCCCTAAAGAGGATGGATAAGGAGCTACGACCGCTATGCACTGGGAACATGTCTTTGGGTCAAAGTATCTTGTTTTCTTCCGAATATTTCCCCCCCTCTCTGACTCTACTGGGGATATATCATCTGGGGACACCATCTCGTTGGCTCATCTGACATGTATTCCTTCGCCTCGCTCCCGTAAAGACTTTATCCTGGTATCACCTCACGTCTCCCCTCTCTGTTTGAGTGAGGAGGATGTGAGGGTATCACTAGTCCTGTTTTCTAAATATGCTCATTTGTCTTTAAAAAACTAAACGTTTCTCCCTTTAGATGAGGGGAAATGCTTTTACTTTAGCTGCTTTGACAAAAATGGGCTTCACCATCAGTCAGTTAGCCTTCCTTCAACTGGGAACTTTAACAGGAGATTGAAACTGAAGCTCTGGATGCGGCCCCTCACTGCACCTGTTTTTATTGGTCACAACTTCTTCCCCTTCTCTTTGGGAAGTGTACTGGTACCTAACTGCAAACATTTTAGAAATATTATTCAGCGATTGTTTTTATTATTTGAGCATCCTAGACAATAAATACGTTTCATTTGTTATCTTAAATTGAGGCAACCTGGTATATTTGAACTCTTTCACAAATATGTTAAGTGTCTGACAAAGCAGAATGAAATGCTGCAATGTTGTCCGACTAAGATGAGCTGTTGTCTGTGAACAAATCCAGCAGTGGTTGATTTTAAAACAAGGCAGGCTGACATGAAAAGTCTGCACTTTGCATACCTTTGGAAGAGGATATATTACCAATAGAAGATGATATGAACCTTTGACAGATCTAATACTGAAGCTAAAGAGCTTTTCTTTTTGCCTCATTTGTTTTTTTAACACAATGACCCTGCAACCCTCGGTCTGGCCTCTGGTCCGTGTGGTTGGTTTGATGCTGGAAATACAGTCACTTTGTTGAGCAGAATCACACAGGGATAGCTTCACAGAGGGTGTAAATGAAGGGTGTTTGAATGTGATTTTTTTTTTCTTCATAATTCTGCACAGTTTAGCATCTTGTGTGTCATCTTCCTGACATGCATCGATTGTAGAGGTTTGCCCCCTGCCCAGGTTAGATTTGCTTCCTTGTTACATCTCCTCTCTGCTGTCAGCAGCTTAAAATCCACCATTCTCCACAACTATGTACCATAATATGTCACTGACCTGAAACTCTGTATGAAACTTTAACCATGCAATATACCGCAGTACGTCACCACTACTGCTGTTCCCCATACTACAGGACACACACTGTATCTATCAATCTGTCTGCTCTTTTGCAGTTTATTTGTTAACACTGTCTGCAAAAGTATATTTTAATGGCAACTCAGGTAACAAACAATACTTAAGAGGGGAATCTGTACATGGTTTGAGTTATTTTCTTGGTTTAATTATTGCTCTGTACAGCTGACATTAAGGCTTACTCACACATCTGATGTTGAAATGTAAGCGATAATATGTCCCGCTTGTTTCTATTAATTAAAGCAATGTATGAATGACATTTGCAGTAAGATGCCATTTTAACAGGATTGCAGTTGCATGATGACCATCCCATGTAATGGCTCATTAGTACACACTTTACTATCTGGTTCTTATTTTTAAATCCCAAACTAATACTGAAATAGATTTGATTTCAGTGTGTGATCTTTACATATTCCTGATAAAAAATGTTTGCACAACTGGCAACAATGTGCCTGGAGAGGTCAATTATAACAACAAAAAGCATTGCGAGCTAAATATTTTAAAATCAGGAAGAAAGAAAGCACACATCTTGTTACATGTCTGAAATCGCTGAGGGGAGGGATCATCGGGTCTCATTACGACCTCGTCTGAAGGGCCTGTGTCGAGATTCAGAGACGACTGGAGTTTGATGGTCATGCCGTGGTAAATAGACCTGCACGCTTCTTTAACTGGACTGTGTTAAAAAGATAGTTTTGTCCCAGCTGTCGATTCATTTTCTGGCACGGACAAAACTTGATCAAGCCTGGCACCGTCGGCTCGCTTTGGTTTTATTTTTCCTTTTCCATTTGAAGACATTTTGACCATGTACAGTAATTTGTAAACTTGCATCAAGTTTATGAATAAAGAATTTTAAGATTATTGCTGTTTTACTGGGGTCCCTGTGTATTATTTTCACTGTACTCAATTGATTGCAGATGTATTGGGCTGGTATTTTAATAAATGAATAAAATGATTTACTCCTGACACAACTCTCATAATGATTTTGTATAAGCGTTGTTTCCTGTCTTGCCGCTCTTCACATCAAAAACTTCGGTTTTCACTCGCCTTTGGTTTTGACATTGACAAAAAAAAGAAAACACTCAATCTGTTGAGTGACTTGAAAATAAAAAGGCATTATACCCTTATTACTTCCTTTCAACAAACAAATCAACATGGTATCATAACACTTCATTGAGACAAGGCCGAGGAGGGTTGTTGCATTTAGTTCATTTTTTACTTTTTAAAAACTTTTAGGACTTAAGTCCAGTCTAAAATTCCTTCATTGTGTCTTAAAAGCTTATCCTTTTTAATTATGAAAAATAATCTGCAACAACTAACTCAAGTAAAGTACCTACAATTCATCACGCCTGAAAACATTATTGGTTCAATATACACCTAGATGTTGTGAAGCAGAAGTCATGTCTATCCACAGCTTGTTTGAAATAAATGAACTGAATACATTCAAACCACTGAGAAGAGTTGTTGTTCTTGTTGATGTGACTAAACAACACATCAGTATTCATCACGAATAGGAGTCGCACTGTTCAGAGGAGCTCACACTGAAGTTGATTTTAACCCATGGAACAATGATTCATTCACACGTGGGTGAATGGATGAGTATAAGAAACCTTTATTTTTAACACCCTTCCATCCTGCTTTAATTCATCAAATACAAAATGTGTTTTAGGTTTTGTGGTAAATGGTTTTTAGATTGTTTGTGTTGTCCAACAAATAACCCAATTAGATCCATGTTTCATCTACAACATCGCATGCATGAAATAACAAAACAGGATGCAACAATAACTGTTTAATATATATTAGGGTAAAACCAAATAATACAAAAAGTAATACACAAAAATGTATTCCTCATTTACGTCACTCATGGAGACACAGCCTCCTCAAATGTTTCATTCAGCTAATAAGAGCATATTTCTATTGAATGTGTTTTCCATGGCAAGTATTTACCCCAGTCATTATATAGTTATATCTAGCTATGGTATAGTACATGATAATACATATCAAACAACATACAGTACATGTGGGAACATGGTGAACTTAATGGGAAATGGCTTTGAAGAAGCTTTGATACATAAAATGCAGAGTATCAGTAGTATATCAAATGCACTGCAGTTCCTGCTGCACAATAACTATACAGCTGTCGTTTCCATAATCACATTAACTGTGCAGTATGTACATATGGCAGATCCAAAATTCACCTTGACCACTTACTACACAAAGGCAAAGTACTTGTTTTGTTCATCTTTGTGCAGACTTCACACTTAATTTATAGAACTGATCAGCTAAACGTTGTACAGTTGCTAACAGATGAGCGTGTGGATGGTACTGTCTAGGGTTACACTTCATAACTACTGTATGTGCATCTGCTGTTGACAATGTTTTGCAGGTGTAAAATTATACTTGTAGTGTCCAGCTTGAAAACAGGTCCATTTCCCATCCATAACAGTTTATGTTATGGTTGTTACTCTAAATGTCTATATTTGAAGCCTGCAAAGGATGCCTGATCTTATTCATTCTACTGCTTACTATATTTCTGTTAGTATTGCTCGACTGTGATCCACTATGTATTTAAGTTGCACCGATGTCAACAGGTGCAAAACATCTAACGTTTAAAAAATAATAATAAACAAAACTCAAAATCTGTTACCCACAGCCATGGAAAGACACAAAGAACATGTGCTTCAAACTCATCCACACATCATCCAAAATACATGAAACAATAACAGGACGGTAGAAAAAGACAACAACTGAAAAGTAAAACAACAAACAGCCCATTGAATACCACACCATCACAATCAGACGAGACGACTCACTGGATTGAAATAACGAGCATTCAGTCACAAATCTTCACATCTGTTTTCAACTCTAACACTGTTTTACTGTAATAACCCACTACTGAGTCTTGACTTGAGTTTCGGACTAAACAGCAACACATAAATATTCTCTCCTTCAGTTTCCCCTCATAAAGAAATAATTGTCTTCATTTTTTCTTTTATATAAATGTCATATTACACCTACTCATAGAATAACACCGACAGCCACGGAATGACACACTAAGGCCTGAAATCCAGAGCTTAGAAACAAGTAGTTATTGAAGCATTTACATGGAGGGATAAGTGGGAGAATTTGCCAAAGGGGTGAAAACATCCATCACTTCATACAATGCCATGACCACCTACAACAATGATTATCAATATAATATTTAGTGTAAGTCCAACCTGCTCGTGTTTTGGTTTTCTTTCTCTTTTAACCTGTACACTGTCGATTTGGAATGTTTTATCCAATGAACCGCAATCCTAAATGCTGCATGTGCTTCACTTTAACATGTATAATAATCATTTATTTGACTGAAATCCACTCCACACATAACCATATGGGTACTAAAAGCTGACACCTTCTTAGGGCTTTACAGGTAGAATTCAAACCCAGCTATTAAACCTTTCCTGAGAATTAAAATGAAAGCTTCGCTGACACAGAGTAAAGAAAAACACAATCAGGACACCAAAACATGTAAGAAAAAAAATCTGGGATTTGAAAGTTCTTGAGTTAGGAAAAATAATTGCCTGATGCATTTGGTAATAGATATTCTTTTCAGCAAATATTCCTGATGGAAATCGAGAAAAATGTTGGTATCCCTTTAATTCATCTTCCGATTAATTCTTATTTTTTTATATTTTGAAATTCTGATTCTATTGTCCAGATTTAGGACAAATTCAACAACAAACATTTACGTATAGTTATCACATTGGCCAGTTTTTAGCATTTGGTGTCTTTCAAGACTAATGAAATTAAACACTCTTGTACTTAAGTACATTTGAAAAAAACACATTCAAATGAATTAAAAGATGTTTTAAAAGTGTGACACAGGCAGAGGAAGAGAGGTCACTCTGTGATGACAACAGATGAACCTACCAGAATAAACTGATGAAGCTCAGAGAATAGTTTTACTGACTTATTTAATTAAATCCCACGTCTATAAGAATTTAATAAAAGTACGCTTCAACTAAGAACATGACTTTTCTCTACCTTGTTCTGGTTTGATTCAGCTTGTACAGTGTTATAATGAAGGGCACCTAATTCTGAATTGTGTTCTTAATTGATCCCTTTTTATCTCTCCCACTCGGCAGCATGGCCCCCTCCTCCGCCCTACATCGGTTCGTCGTAGTTGTAGGTGGGAGCTGCTGAGTACTGGTTCTGCTGCATGCCCCCCTGCTGCATGCCCCCCTGCTGCATGCCCCCCTGCTGCATGGCCCCCTGCTGCATGGCCCCCTGCGCGGCTCCCATGGCCGCCTGCTGAGCTGCTTCCTGGACGTGGGGGTTCTTCCAGGCCCCAGTGGCCCACTCCTCCTGGGCCTTACCCATGCTGCCCCCACTGCCTCGGTAGAGGTTATGAACCTGCAAGAACAATTGTATTTCAAAAGCTATTTTACCATCTTTACAAAACAGTGTTAAAAATTGGTTTTGAAAAAAACGTGATATTATTTCATGATACATGGCACTGAGCAAGATCTGGAATCACAGCTGGTGCTCTAGCACAATGTGTTGGTGGGGCTCCTATTAGGGGCAATCATAATTTAAGAGGGTGGTACCTCTCCATTCATTTTGTATTTAATTGCAATCAAACTAACTATTTGGCTGATATGAGGCTTCAATATTGGTCAGGTTTACAAGCAATCTAGATTAAAAAGCTTCCACTCTGAGTCAAAGCTAGGTAGCCTAGTTGGCTAAATCTAAGTGGAATAACGTTTCCTCGCAAAACACTGGACCTAAAAAGTTAACTATTTCTTCGAGCCCACCCTTAGGCATGAAGCGGTTTCCACTAACATCAAAAACGGTCTTAACCTCTTGGGAAAATGTAGAATAATAGTATGATTATATATTAAAGAGACTTTTAGCCAATGAAAGCATTTATGTTTTTAGAAAAGTAAAGAAGAAGATTAAAACCTCCTGGGACCCAGCCCATTGAAAATGTTCACTGTAGTGGACATTTTGTTAACATGCATCTCCTTTTACTCTTTTGAGCTACTCTATCAATCCCTGATGTACTGTACACAGGACATCCTGGTCTTTCCAGTGATATGTCATTGGTTAAAATTGCATGCTGGGAAGTTCCTCTTTCTTTTCATCCAAAATGGCTGGCATACCAAAAACAAAATGTTATAGAAGAATTATTATATAGCAGTTATTGTTGAATAATTGTAATTGTTACCATGAAAATCATATATGTTCTTGTTTATTAACATGTGAGGAACTATATAATTAGTTCTGAAAGCAATTAAATAATTAAAGTTTTCAAATAACAGCTCTTTTATAAATGTCCATCCTAGTGGACGTCAGGACCATCTTCATGGACTTAATGACTCAATATTGTTGCAGGAGACGGAACTGAAGCAGAAATTTTCTGTACCAGATAGTTAAGGGAGATTCAGATTTTGAGCTCTCAGATGATGAGAGAGATGAGGATTTCACACCTGGGATAGAAGAGGGTCAAGAAGAAGGGGGGAAAGATGCAGGAGGCTCCATGAGCGCACAGATACAGACATAGAGACAGATAGGGACGAGATGGAAAGACATGTCTGTGGGCCAAGAGTAGCACGTATGTCTTATTGTTGTTTTTATTTTAAGTGGAGCCAAGAAAAATGAGAATTGCCTCAGGAATGCCAGCTTTGTTTCTATGAGCATGGTCAAATGGAGACCACATCCATACAACTAGTCAAGATGACCCCACAGCCCGTGCCGAATGGAGTCAATGAGGTACTTTTCCCACTACATTGACTACAAAGTCTTTGAAGATCTGGAAAGATTCACCAAAAGCCAAACTAGTTTTTTAGTGACCAAATAAACAGCAATGTTTAGATCAATTACTTATTCATGTTTTAAATAAAGGTGAATGTATTATTGTATTAATATCTGTTAATTTTGGCTGTCTTTTCAAACTGGTCCCGACGTCCTCTACAGTGGACATACTGTAACATTTAAAAATGTAATTAAATAAAAAAAGCCTAAATTGCTTTTTAACCCTAAATAGAGGAAATCACAAAAAAAAGGAAATTGGAAGACACTTTTTTTCCTCGGGTCCCAGGAGGTTAAATGACTTAGGTTAGGTAGGAAAGGTTACCTTTGTGAGGGCGATGAAGGACAGAACAGCCACGGCAGTGAACATTATGGTGGGAATCAGCATGACCACAGCTGAGCCGACGTTGGTGCTGAAGAACGTGATGGTAGCCAGCCAGCCACTGATGGGAGCAAAAGAAGAGTCAGTAAAATGTTAAGGCAAGGCACTCATGAAACAAGGAATATTTAAAACCTGGTTTTTAGCAATTTGGTAATCTTTAAGAAATACTATAGTACATTAAGAAAATGATACCATTCCTAAATAAACTTAAATATCATTAATTCTAATTGTATTGTTTGATATAAGTAAGGATCCTTTAACAAAAAATGTATAAACTATCATTTACAATTAATGAATGATGGTTACTATAAAATGTTAATCAAACGTGCAGATGGGTGAATAAACTCTAGAAAAGGGTGTTTACTTTCTTTAACTCGTTAACCCATTTTTATTTACGCTTCATATCAAACACATTACATATCTGTGTTAGTCAAAGCTCTTACCACACTCCCCAGCCTGGTATGCCAACAGTCTGGATGATACTGATCACCACCTGGGCCATGAAGACGAAGAAGAAAGCCATGAAGTTGAAGGAGCTGTCGGTTCTGCACAGGGAGAATCAGAAAAGATGTGATTCAGCAGAACAGCAGGTGCAGAGTGATGAGTAGGGTCAGAGCGGGAATAGCTTACTTGAAGGCCTTGTAGATGGGCCTGAACCAGCACACGTAGGAGCAGGGGGTGAAGAGGATGAGCCACAGGATGGCCATCCCGAAATTGGTTGCTCCGCCACCTCCACACATCCACGCCAGACAGCCAATCAGATTAATAGCCAGTGTGGCGCTATTCACTGTCAACATCACAGAGAAGGAGCGATGATGACCATAACATGGCAGACTGAAGACAAAAGCCTCTTCAGTGAATATCCCACAGGCTGCATTACTCATAATTCAGAAGGAGTGAATCACTACCAATCTCAGTAAATACTAAACACCACACTTTCAGTTCTATATTAACGCTATAATGAAGCAGCACACAGTTTCTACAAGTACCAAACTAATCTACTTATTCCAGCAGACTTACATTCTTGTTTTCAAATGGCAGAACCTATGTGGCAATGAAAGAGATACCATGATATTACAAATCGACACATTACTATTATGTAATGTGACCACCAAAGGCTGCAACTTGTGATTTTTCTTAACAGATCAAGCTTTTATGCTTTTTGGTGTTTTCCCTTTCCCGTAGTAGTGTTCTATCGTTTTTCGTTAAAGTAAATGGTCTGCAAAGGCTAAAATCCCAAACGTCCTGCCAGAGGGAGTTTCTCTACCACACTCCCCCCCCCCGACTGAAACACCTCAATAGTAGTCATTTTTTACTTCTGTAATATAGTGACATCACCATGTAACACTTGCACTTCTAATGGCTAGTGCTCCAACACGTTTGTGTTAAGCTAAGGGGCGGGACATCTCTAAGTAGTTGACCAATCAGAACAGAGCCGGCCAGCTAACCAATCAGAGAAGACTGCGCTTTAAACCTGCAAATGATCATAGGGTCCCTTTAAGCTACCAGTTATTTCCTTGTTTAATAGATACATAGTTTGGTATATGTAACGAGTGTATGACTGAGATGTCCTAACATTTCTTGTTTGTTTTTTAACCAAGACTCAATATATTTGATCTTTAATCATTTGTAACAAAATAAATCCGAAGAAATGTAACATTTAAGGAGCTGGAGCCAGAGAAATTGGCTTCAAATAACCCGTAACATTTTAAATCAGTCATTTTCTGCTGACCAACCTGATTAAAATCAACCTAAGCTAACAAACTTGGACACCATTTTTCAGACTTGGCACAAAAATGCACAAAAAGCCTAGTTAATATATTAAAATGGCTCTGTGCCGGACAATGAGACCGGTCCATCTGGTCTCACAGCCACGTTTGAGTGTCTCTGATGTTTAGTTTAGTTCTCATGATGTTTTGGGTAAAACAAAGTGACACGACATGAGAACACAGGAGCAGTGGGCAGGTTAACAGTTTGTACTATGATGCATACAACATACTTAAACTTGAGCTGTAGTAAACAATGTGCATTTAGTACTGTCCTGCAGCTCAATACACCATTTTATACTGCAGGTACACTCACAGATCCATAGGTAGTAGAGCCGTTTGCACATGGTGCGATGCTGGTCTGGGATCTCATTGAAGTCTTGGTAAAAACACGGCCTGAGAGGGATGAATCGAGGCAGGGGAGGGAAGTTGTTTTCTAGGGCACAAGACACAGTTCAATGATTAAATTAAGTGGGCTGATGTTTTTAGACTCACATGCACACTATGCAGTTGAACAGAGAGATTACCTGCCATGATGACCGTTCAGTATTTTGCTCCACTTCCAAGCAGGCAAAAAAACTTCAATCTCAGCTTCCTTGCAGACCAAACTGCAGAGAGAGAACAGAGCTGTTTTATTAAGTGCAATATCACTCACTGCTCTCCTTGAAGACAGCAGGGCCACAGTCCTCCATAGGCCTTCCTGTGGATGCATGCACACACTTCCCTCGAATAAAATACCTTAAATCCTTACATGATTTGATTAAATGTGGTACCCCCATCCCTTATAGAGCATCCACCCTTATTGTTGCGCGATTCATTACAATCGACAATGACAGACATGTTTCTGGGCCACATACTACAGCTGTAATCCGCGCCGTGTGAAACAGGGTGGCCTTGTCGTGATTCCCAAAATGTATTCATAACCTATGTGTGCACAACAGGCGTTACAGGCCTACACACTTCACAAATTGGACTATAGACCTACAGGATGATGGATATGTATTTGTTTAGCTCTAAATCCTTCCAATAGGCTATAATCAACCTACTTCCACGGTATGTGGCTGTGTTTGTAAGCCATATTTCAATGCATATGATGGGGGATGTAGGTAGAACTTTGAAGGGCATCTTTCTGCCACAAAGTATTGCAATCTCTGCCTTGAAAAACAGACTGATCCTGGTTTATTTTTCATGCATTTGATGCTTAAACGGTGTCCTATGTGTGTTTCTGTCGGCGGATGGCAGTGATGCTGCAGAGGGGCACAGTGCATCGTGATCCCACAGGCGATGGAGAAGCGTCCTTCAGCCTGTGCGACACGGTGCATCGGTGCTTACTCTTCATCCGGACACCGAGCAGGTCAAACCCGAAGTCCTCTCAATATACCACCATGGATATACATTCTATATGCGTTACAAAAGCTACAATTAATTTTAATACATCGTATCTCCTCCTCCTGCTATGAATGAAAATGCATTGATTAAAACGCCTTACCTCCAGCTCAGTGCGAGAATGTGGCTAAATTCCCTCCGTTCGTTTAAATAGCATGCTATTGTTAATCTGCATGAAAACACACTGAAGAAAACGATTGCATCTGGCGCTGCTAAAATAGAAAGATGTTACGTTATTCCTCAAATGACGGGTTTGGGTGTAAGAGGCGGTCACGTGACGCGAGGTCTTTTCTTTACGCACATACACCCCCCCTATCCGCTGCTTTACCCGCCTGCACAGCATCAGGGCCCCAGGCACAAAACATTGGGATTTGTTGCTGGCCTCAACCGACCAATCAAAAAGCAGGAATGTTTCATCAAGCCCCGCCCCTTCATGATGCTGTCCACAGTGCTGAAAGTCAGAGGAGGTATTACTCATTCACATCTGATTGGCTGCCTGTTATCACATCATTAAATAAAGTGCTTTACAAACAACACAACACAAAATGTGAAGATGCATGACAGTCCTACATCTACAAACAATATTATAATCAGAAACAGATGTATTGCTAGGTAGGTTAACACATACGAGAAATGGGCCATGGTGTATATGCTGCATACATAAAACAGAGTCAAATATACAAATGTAACACATGTAAGGCCCATATAGTCTTTAGCAAGAACTGAGAATAGAAAGTTATTATCTATCCTGACAGAAATGGTGGCATGGATATGTCCAATTCAAGACTGGATATAATTAATCCGAGATTAAATATTGGACAAATCACGTTGGAAGGTTTGAATAAACAATGAATATGTTTGGTTTATCCAGGGTTAGGATTATTACAAAAACATTGTGAAGGAGAAAGTATCAAGGTAAGCCTTTAAAGGACTGAAAAATAAAAAAGACACACAAACATACTGCATGTATTTATCCAAAATCAAAACCTGTATTACAGATTTTGCCTAAAATACATTATGAAAGCAAGTCTTAACATGATTGTGGTTTTTTTCAGAGATCACAATGTCAAGCTTTTTGCTTTTCATAATAATAATAATTATTATAAACTGTATTTATATCTGTTAGTATTTATTTATATATGGCTCTGAGCAGCTATTGGGGCAGGACCTTTAATTCTGTTGTGGAAGCGACTCTCTGCACATCAGTCCACTGTCATAAATGCTGCTTTCAGGTATCTTCGTAAAATTATTTATTAGTGTAATCAAATAATATATAGATATTAAAAACACATGACACACATGTAACGATGGTATTTATATTATGTTTTTATTTATTTTTCAACAGTATTTGTGGGCGTTTCCCCTGCATTCATTTACTGACGTGGAGACACAAGCATTTCCATTCTGCCACGTTTGTGTTAACCATGGTGTTCACATTTCGTCCATGTACGACATTTCTGAGGTACTTGAACGCAGCATTTCCATAAGCTAACGTTAGCTCTTCCTGCAGTGCTATGAGTTGAGCCACACTGAAGGTAACGGCATTTAATGATATAAACATCGTTTTTGTATCATGTAAAATATGTATGTGTTCAACAGGAATGTATTTTCGATATTTTTGGAATCTCAAAGTATTTGGACAATGCTGCGTTATCATGAGTTAGTTTAAATTAGCAGATGTTCACTTGTTGTAGGTAAGCTAATTTTAGCTAACGTTAGCTTCCATCTCCCAAGCTAGTAAAGGGAAGAGCATTCACAACACAGGCACCGAAACCGGAACTAGTGTTTTTTCCAGCTGAGTTGTCAGCTCAGAAAACAACTATATGGAAAAGAATACATTGTAATTTTTGTGTCGGTTTTCGTGTTGGTTTTGACCGTAAAAGTTACAGTAGACGTTAAATGTTGACAAAAGTGACATACATGGGTTTTAAACATAGGTTTTAAACCGTTATAAGTAGATAAGCTTATCTTTGCCAGTTCACTAAAGCCTCGAAACGAGCTAAGCTACAGTATGTGCAATGCCAAAATGTTGTTTTACTACAAGAAAATGTATTTTCTTCAAAGTCAGAGAAGATTGGAAAATCTATCTATGTTCATCAAATTACCATTAACCGATAGATATATCCACCCATATATACTGCAATATAGGTTTATTGAACTAAGTTTGCCATAATTAATATTATTATTTATAACATACTGTTTCACCATAATGTGCACAGGTTTTACTTGCATTTACAATTTTATAATATTGCTACGTGTTACTGTAATTCTTTACATGCCTCCCTCAGGACAAATATGCACCCCCCTGCGCACATGTTGGGCTTTTTAAAGAAAGGGCTGAAAAAAATAGTTGATTATTTGGTTGACAGAAAATCAATAAGTTGTGATGTATATATATATTGCAACACATATATCATGCTTCTTTGTTTGAAGTTTGTTTGTGTTAACTTACCTATAATGACATGTAACTGAATATCTTTGGCAGTTTGGGAAATTGTTATTTAAATTGGCATTTATCACTATTTAATAAATACTGAGCGATTAATACATTATTTGAGAAAAGTTTAAAGATAAATGAACAATGAAAATACTGATCTACTTCTCGTAACTCTTGCTTATACTGCCATGCCATATGAGCTGTGCTGTTAACACCTAACTTGTTTTGGCTGTGCTGACCTATGTGCTGGCTTATCGCCTCTCTCTGAAGTGCTGGGAATGCAGCCGCCGCTCCCCCCGGAGGCCGTCAGAGAGCTGGTGCGCTCCTGTCTGCACAGAGACCCCGTCGCAGCAGACCTCCGCTGCAGCCTGTTTGTTGCCTCTGCACAGAACTACAAGAGAGACTCTTTGCTCAGACCGTTCCCCCCGAGATACATAAGTAGTGACAATAAGGACTTTGAGGAGCTGGTAAGATATATAGTGCCACTCAATAGCATTTGAATTAACATTATTGTGCCTTTATGCTTAAAAACACAAATTGCCTATACCCAATGAGTATAGTGTTGGTGTGATACACATTCACTTGGTGGCAGTCATGTGCTGTTAGAGGCAGCAGTGTGTCAGTAAAGAAGTGGAAGAACATGACAATGATACATATTCAAAACAATTAAGTGGATTTGCAGATTCTTCTTAGATAGAAACAATGCATTTTGCTAGGAAAGTATGTCAAACAAAACCATATGTATTTCCTATTAAAACTGTATGGACTCTTTTATAAAGCATATAACGATCTGAGATCTTTCAGTTAAGCAATACTTAAAAACAATGGTTAGTGAAAGGTGTGCCATCCTAAGTGTTGTTATGTGATGCATATATCATACTGATCAAAAGGAAGCTGTTATTGCTCTCAGGAATGAAAGGCTGTAGTCAACCTTAGGGCATTTTGAATGAGCAGGTCTCTAACATTTGATCAAAAATGCCAAAACCAAAGTCGTTCAGAATAGTTTGAGTGACGGACGGTAAATATACAGTTTATGCTGTATATCACAGATTTATTTACTGGTTTCTGTGCGAATGGTTATGATGTAAAATGGATTAAATAGCAACATTTCAGACAAATGTTTATGAAAACATCACAAACATACAGTTCATCAAAAGAAAATGGGCTTTTCTAGTTGGCAGATGTGCAGTCTTTGCCTGGTGTGAGAGAGTTGGTGAGACTGCGACCCAGAGAGGGAGATCATCATCTGGCTCTGACACACTGGATCCTCTCCTCAAAGAGCTTTGCTGTGAAGACCCTGCAAAAAGACGAGGTACACCTCTAGTACTACACAAACAGACATTTCATTGTTGTGGCTTTGATGTTTACAGTGTGTTTCTTGAATCTCTTCCAGTATGCCAAACTGTGTGACCTCACACAAAATGAAGGAACTTGTGGGCCAGTGCCTGACTTCCTGTTCGAGCTGGAGTACTGTGATCAGATGAATGCTAGGTTTGAGAAGATGAGGGAGGGCAGAGACCTCTTCTATGCATTCCATGGGAGCCGTCTGGAAAACTTTCACTCTATCATTCACAACGGGCTACACTGTCACCTCAACAAGGTTGGTGAAGTCATCGCTGGTTCATTTCTGCTCTGCCCAAAAATCGTCTTTATTATGGAGGAATATACTAAAAATGTTCCTTTTTGGACTGTTATAATTCAATATAATACAAATGACATAAGGGAGGGTTTATATTCTGTTGTTGCTGCCTGACACGTCGTAGCATGTTGTTTTATTTTGTGGCCGCTGTGTGCAGAACTCGGTGTTTGGCGAGGGGACCTACCTCACCAGTGACCTCAGCATGGCCGTCCTCTACAGTCCACACAGCAGCAGCTGGAGAGAGAGTCTGCTGGGTCCACTGCTCAGCTGTGTCGCTTTGTGTGAAGTCATTGATCACCCAGATGTTAAGTGCCAAGTGAAGAAAAAAGGTGTGTAAATCACGCAGAATCAAACACATGTGAATTCCAATGAGACAGACTTTTTAATTGCTTGATATTTCATTTCCCCGCACATTTTTCTTTTCAGATTCTGAAATCATCGACCGCCAGCGCTCAAGAGCAAAGAACAGCGAAGGAGGGGACGTACCGCAGAAGTACTTTGTGGTCACCAACAACCAGCTCCTGCGAGTCAAGTACCTGCTAGTTTACTCTCAGAGGAGACACCTGTCCAGGTAAGAGTCCCTTGTGGGTGTATGATGTAAATGCTGAAACAAGTATTTATTTGCCAACTTGCACCTTTCTTAAAAATATACTTTTAAGTGCAAATATTTATGAATCATTGCTAGTGCTGCCGAGCAACAAAATGGGGAAAGTGGGAAAAAGGTTCAACTTAATGTTCACTTCCTCGAAGCAAGCAGGATCCAAAACCACTTGTTCTCATTCCTGTTGAACAGAAACACAGCATTGTCTTTCTACGGCACTCCACAACGCAAATGTCATTCAAAGAATATTTTATTGAATAAGAAAAACGGGGAATGCTTCTTATCTTTGGCAGTATGGTCCATAATTCACTAATTATATAACTTAATTCAAATGTTGAATGTAAACAAAATGAATGATGCATCTTTGCTTATAACTATTTGGTACTGTCCTTTTAAAAGAAAGACACTTAAAGCAGTTTGGCAGAAATACACAAAAAACTCTGCAATGTTTGTTGTTGCCTAAACAAAAAGTAACAAAAAAAAAGAATATACTTGAGAAATTGATTGCTGAAAAAACCAGAACAGTATTTGCCATTGTTTTTGGTTTTATGGGAAACAGGATGTCCTTCTTGTTTTTGTCCCCAGGCGTTCCCGCAGCACCTCCTGGCTCCTCAGACACCATTTTGCCATCATGATGAGTCTCTACATCCTGCTGCTCATATTCATCGGTGCCTTTAACTCCACCACCTTCATTTCCTTTTGGAGCCGACTGTTCAGGTGACAAGACAACCGACAGAAGTGCCTTCCTGATCACAGACTGACTGGAGGCCTGAGCAAAGATAATGTTTTATGCACCTTTTATACGGTTTTCTCTCTACAATCATTCTCTCCATTGTTCACAAAACCATAATAACTATATTCCCATGATCTTTTCAGTGTAGCTGTTGGGATCACATTATGTTTGAATCAAATTGAAACGGGGAATCAAAACCATTTTGCATTTTGAAAATGTTATGCAATTTTCCATCTGTAATTAGTTTGGTTTGATTGTTTTTAGAGCAGAAATGTTGCTGTGTGGTTTTAGTCTTACTAACCAAAAAAAGATATTGTTTAAATAACTGCACAGCAAAGAGCATCTCGTTTTGATTGATTTAAGTCTTAAGTAAACCTACTGAGAGTTATTAGCACATTTACTGATTGCATTGACTCATCTGTGTCTGGGATCCCATGGTACGGCACTAATGACAATTTCCACATTTTCTCTTTTAATCTTATGATTTTGTATTGCTCAGTTGTGGGTAGGGACCTTTTTAATTTGTCATGATTTAAGTCTAATTTTAAGGTATTAAATAGAATGGTTAGGTTTATTAAAGCTATATGAGACAGCTATTGTAGTTGTGCTGACATGCTGTATTTATAATGACGGATCACAGGAAGGCCACAAAGCCTCGTTTATCAAATCTTCAGATATTCTTCTATATCTTTATAATAGTGAAGAAGGTAAACTGTATATCGGCTTATAGCCTAAATGTTCTGAAATTTTGTTACGATTTTGAACACTAATAAAGCTATACTTTTGATTAAAGTTTCACAGGTTTGAGTGATTTTATTTGGTTTCAAAGTTGACTTAGTTGGTCTTTACCTGATTTAAATGACACATTCCTCTAAGTTCTAAAACTTTGGGAAACTTGTTGGATTGTGTAAGTACAGTACACAACTCGACAAAATGTATTTTTATTTTGTCATTATACTTATCGATGCGGAGAAGTTCCTTATTATACCTTTTTAAATACATCTTCAAAATGGTGGCTTGACTTAAAATGAGTACCACTCATTATGCAGGCATGGTGAGAATAATCGTGTTCGAGCTGCTTCCCGTACATAAAGCATACTTGAAGGTCACTCTTTCATAATCATCTATTGTACTTTTCTATTGTTTTGTGTCGTATTCAAACTTTAACATGGGTTTCCTCAGACAGGGGCACATTTATTACCTCTGGCATGCAAACAGTCCTTTGTTATCCAATGTTTTTATCAGTAAAAGAAAAAAGAGACAGCTATATGGGATTGATAACACAGGCGGCCTGCTTTGGTGACAGACAGTCCCACTAATACCTGGTGTCACAATGTGTTTGCAGAGAAAAACATACAAAAGAAGAGAACGTTGGTGGTGTTTTATAGTTTGCCATAAACATGTAAGAGGACCATTTTATAACTGAAAAAGTGAAATTATTCGTTCAACGATACTTACACACTTCACAAAGAGAAACGTTTGTGAAGTTTAAGCATTAAATGTCATATTTTGTGCTAATAAAGCCAGCCTTATAAACAATTAGACTACCTTTTTCATCAATGTGTGCATAATTGCTTGTACAATACTGAAAGCACATACAAGACAAGTAGCTGCTGCACACTCTTCCATTATTTATTCAACGATTCACCTGACTGACAAAGTTAAACGGAGATGAAAGAAAATGCAGGTCTTTGTTTTGATTTAAAACATATATTTCTTGTTGGGAAATCTTTCAGATACACTGTTTCTCCTCTGAAGACCTAACTGTCCATTGTTAGTCCAAATGTTATTCCCTTTCTGTGCAAGCTTCATTATAGCTGCCTCATAAACTGTATGTTATTCAATAACCATCATCTGTCAGGGGGGCAGTGATGGCAGAGGGGACTCCAGACACTTCATTTCCCCTGTGACCCAGACAAAACTCCCAAAATGGAAACAGTGCCAGACTGATTTCATGGTTCCATTTAAATTGTTGAAACCAAATTATTCCACTTAATTTCTCTGCCTCAAGATTATTTTTCTTTCTTTTGAAATATAAATATTTCTGCATTGCTTCTACTTATTCAATTGCACATGTCTTAGTTCATGATTGTCAAACTTCTTACACTAAACTTAAATGCTAATATCAACATGCTAACATCATGAAGAAGTTAAGCAGGTTTTGTTGACCTTATTCATTATCTTAGCTAACCACAATTAGCATGCTAAAATTAGCTAATTAGCACTTTATCCAAAGTACTGCTGAGGCTTATTTGAATGTGATTAGTTTTTTTTTTATACTTCCAAGTGAGATATTTTTGATTTGTACCAAAGGCTGTAAAACTCTATCTAATAATAATACTATTGCACTGTACTATTAATCGAGTCCAAATATACGAAGTAGAATCATTTTTTAAAGAGAAATTAACAAGGCAGGTTGATTTTGTACTTTAGATCTGATCTGATCTTAAATCTTATGAATCTTCAACTTTGTGTCCACTAGGTGAAATGTGTTGTGCAGCAATGTAACAACATGGAGCACACAATCTAACCGATAATAAGTTGAATTTGAATTGAATGATATACATCAAGTGACACGACACACCATTTTATTTTCAATGATTTACACATTTATACATTTCACAGCTTTTATTCAGTTAACATTGCTTACAAATGGGATTGTTTGATAAAAAAATATTGAAGTTATACACAAAGTTTATATATAGCTGCCTTTTTCCATTTTGCTACATGAACCAATGAAAATGTACTCTTTTTACACCTTCACTGTGTTTGGACAGGCGGGGACCAGACACAGAAAATGCCCCTCAGGATGACTCTACAAAGAAACACAAGAAAGACAAAGTGTTTGATTAATGAGAAAAGTGCACAGCATGATGCAGAAATACTTTTAATGAAGGCTTTGTGATGTGATGTATTCTTACCTGCAGGTTGTTGTTGCATACAGTGTTATGAGTGGCTTTCAGGTGATTGTGCACACACTTCCCAAACTGGCGCAGGCACGATGAGTCAGCGGGGGTGCAGGTCTGAGTGCATGATGGGGGTTTCAGGAGCAGACAGCTTGAACAGGAGGTGTGTTGGCAGGAGCCCTGGCATGCTGTCTTCTCCAGAGAGACAAGCCTACAATGCAGGACATTTAGATTCCTGTTAGCAATGCATAAGGGGAAGATATCATAGGGAAATCGTCTTTCTTTGGTTAGTTTTTGTTACCTGGCAGAGCAGATTTCCGTGTGGTTTGCCTGACAGTACGCCCTGGTGCACTCTGGGTGACAGCTCTCTGGATCCAATGATTCAATCACTGCATAAAACAACATTAAAAACGTAATAAGAAAGTCTAGGACTTGCAACTCACATGGCCGATTAGATATGTACATTTTCATATTTACATATTTTACTGTGCAGCAACAAAATATAAAAAGTCTTATCTTGTGCTACGTCTGATATCGTATCAATAACGGTGACAACTCTTTTCATCCTGAGGAGATAACAGGCGTCATTATGGTTTGACTGATAGAAGAACCCTTTGAATCAAAGGAAGCCTTGACACACTATCAGGCTTCACACCTCATAAACTACATTCACCATTTTGGCGCCATTCCCACCACAATAGTGACTGATGTTGGATTTTAGAGGAACATCTTTTTATTTACATTTATTTCATGGCTATCGTAGTTAACATTTAAAATAAATATTAGGACTTTTTTAAATATATATGATTCAAACTGACAAAAAGTACAATCTCTCCCTCAACCATTAACAACTTAAATATGCAGCACATATGTATATATATTTGTTTCTTCTTTACTTTTCTCTGTTAATATTTATTTTAGTGTTTTTAACAGGGTCATCCACTCGACAGCCTTAAGAATGAGTTGTTTGAATAAAGTCATGTGACAAAATGCAGCTTATATTTCAATGAATCTGTAGAAATATTGCAATGAATATAGTAAATATAAATGTAACACTGCCAGGAGCAATTCTACTGCATGATTGACACCTTTATTGTTTTAATTTTTTTTGTACATTCCTCTAATGATGCTTCTTTACTTTTTCTTGAGTAACATTTTGAAAACAGGGCTTTTACTTGTAATTGAGTATTTATACATTTGGGTAATGCTATTAATCTTTTGTGTACATATTGACTGTTGTGATGCTGTGTCTTATTATAAATTAAATTAGAACCTATGAAAACATTTGGCTCACCGTGGCATATTCCAAATAATTAGTAATTCAAATGTCATCACATTACCTGCCTGACACTAATTGAGGTTATAAACTTTAATCTCACCTGCTTCACAGACGCCTCTGCGCTCTGTGTCTGGTTTGTCCTCTGCTCCTGACTCCTGGTAAACACACAGCAGGCCCTCGTCACATTTGCCCAGATAGTCCCACGTCCCCCCGCAGGTGTCCCCCTCCGCCCGGGCACAGACGGGGCAGCAGCCACACACACCTGTCGTGATGCCCCCTTTACACTGGAGCTTCAGCGCCCGGCGGGTGGAGCAGTGTATTCGCTCGCAGGGCGGGCAGTGAAGGGTCTGGAGCTGCTGAGCTGCAGCAGAGGGCGTTTCCTGTGACCCCACGATCCCCAACAAGGCACTCAGAAAGAAGAGCATCCACATTATTCATCAACCTGATTATTCTGAGGGGAGAACACCTGTCTGCACCTCTTATATACACGTGGGCCCCCGGGATAACACACTAACTTCATAGTTTACGAGCCACAACCTCCACCCCCCACCCAGCAGCCAATAGATGAGGGCAGAGGGGTTTCCACTCTAAATACACAGTCTTATCTTATCAACAGTGTGATTTTGTTTTGAAATAATTCTTTCTTTTGAACACCTGTTAGATAAGTCTAATGAAGACTGGCCCCCATTGTGTTTGGAGTCACATGACCTCTGGAGGGGGCAATTCAGTGCACACCTACAATCAGGTAATGACCTATTTGTTAAAAGAACAAAAGGATCACCACATCAGCATGTTATCTGATCAGGACATCTCGCAGCGCCGTATCTCTGAATAAAAACTCAGACAGGTGTGTACATAATAATAAAAGGAGACTACTGTCACTGGATATCTATTAAATTACACTGGATGTGTCAGTATAAATGCCTTATTCTTTTTATCTGGCTTCCTTTTTACAGGGTTCCAAGAAGCTGCAGAACACAATAAGTTCATTCATAAATCCCACTTCAGTATTTCAGACACAAGGGGATTGTTAGATGGCCAAATATTTACCACCTTATTGAACTTCAAAAGGGCTTTTAATAATTTTTGGAGTTTGAAAAGTAACTCAAACTAAACGTATTGCCTCGCACTTAATTTACCATTATTATTCTACTATTTCAACAATTTGACAATTTATACACCCGAGCAATAAACATAATTAGTAGAAGCGGGAGGGCAGAAAGCATAGCTTATACAGAGCCCAGCCGTTAGTCATCCAGTTGCAGGATAAAGAGAAATCCATAATTAAATACATACAAATTAAACATATATATACACAAACATAATGTACATATGTACATACACCCATTTCCAGGGTGAAAAGAAAAGAAAGCAACAAAAAAAAAATCCTACAACTCAATGTTCAGATAACAAGACATGTAATGATGGTTTTATGATAGTTATAATTATTAATATTGTATTACTATTAATATTATTACCTTATATCCATATCATATTTTTTCATTTATTTTTAAGTCAAGCCAACATTCTGAAATGATGTAACACATTTGATATTTAAATAATTAGTTTGTGGGAATAGTTAGCCTATCTCAGCTCATCCAATTAGTATTCAAAGCTTGATGAAAAAAGAGCCAGTGTTTACACCATAGGCTACATTATATTAAAAATGTTTCACAAAAACACATTTAACAATTTGAGTGTCTCTAAAGTATTCTGTCAGTAAATCACTTTCTCTATTAGTAATCTGATGAATGAAGTTATGCAGTCACTCTTCTGTAGTGTCAAAGTATTTGCAGTGTGGCATGATCTTTTTAAACATAAATGCATTGGGGAAATATAACTAGGGTTATTATTAAAAACCTTTGATTTACTAAATGTATTTCAGTACAATATTGAGGTCCTTGTATTTACTTGAGTATTTCCATGCAGTAACAAAACAAATAAGAATTATTGTAGTTGATATTTTGTTTCCAAGGTGACAAGCTCCATTATCATGTATGCTTTTATTACAGTATTGCTAAACTAGAACAACATACCATCTGCCTGGGGCAAAAATCCACATTGCCAAATCAAAACATGCATTTGAATAATTACTAGGAGGCTCTCAGTCGTATAAAAATGTATTTATTTTCAAGGAAACCATTGAGTAACACTGAATACAACAGGAGTGATCATTCAATAGTGAATAAAACTTGTGACTCCTACATCGTAAAGATCCCACATACAAGACGTCTTGGAAAACAAGATTTCAAAGCAAACATGTTGGCAATTTGCTGGTGCTACAATTTTATCTCCCCCCCCACATAACAAATTGAGGTGATACACACCTGTATAGAAAAGTGACAAGATTTTTTACATCAACTTACAAAGGGCTGGATGTCAAAGTGCAAGATGCCTGAACCCCCCCCCCACCCCAGCCCTCGTTAAAGAGGACGATCGAGGTGTCGAAATCAGAAATGGACTGTCAAATACAAATCTTCAAAATTATCATTCTGCCATTATGGCTTTGTATTCAGTTGTGACCCAAGTCTAGCTTACATTACATTAAAATATTGTTTCAGAAACACTTTCCTCCCAAAGAGACTTTTTTTTTTTTAAACTGCACCTTATTACAGACAACTGCTTGTAATGGACTAAAGCATCACAGGAATAATGCAGGCATACAACAGAAATGCAGCCGTTTATCAACAACTTCAAACAAAACACACTAACCTTTTGTTTGTTTATAAAAGCAACCGAATCGAAGAATACATACTAAAATCCGAAGTCAAAATAAAAAGGACTTAAAAACCTTGAAGGAAAAAAAAATATGTACATATATTTACAGGTAAATAGAGTGAATATTTTACAGGTTTGACTGGCTGTTCAAGGTGAGGCCGAAGCCACCAGGGTCCATAAAATCCAACACTGCGTGACATTCAGTTAGTCAATCCAAAATGGTTCTTAAAAGACAGAATACCTTCCAGGAAGCCGCCTCCCAGAAAGGTGCACTAAAAAGAAGCGAGCGAAAAGGGAAAGTCTGCCGCTGCGAGCAGTTTGTTCTGAATCTGGTCTGATTGTGTTTGTATAAAAACATCCAGGGCTTTTTTTGACTCAACAAATCTTTCAATGTTTTGCATGATTTAAAAATGTATAATAATGGCAATGTTTGCAAAGAGAAATCCATTTAATATATTCTTCTAGGAGTCTGTTTTTCGTTTGTTTCCAATGTTGATACCATGTTGGACTGAGAGATGAACATGAGGTCATCAGTCTGGAGGAAGGAGGTTGTGCAAACGAAACTGCTCTCGGATGTGCGGCCTGACATCTTCATTCTGTGAAAAAGAGGGAAACGGATCAAAAAAATATCGTATGAGTTTTACGGTTCTCAACGGGAGAGGCAGACAAATCAAACCGGATGTCACAGAGATGCTGGTTAGCAGAAAACCTATATTATGACATGAACTCCCTGCAGGGGTCGCCTGTGGTCTAAATGAGGTGCCAATCTGTCAAGTCTTTCATTTGTCGCGTAGAAATTCCAACTGCATATTACCTGCCATATTAGCCAACCAGAAGTCTTGGAATAATATTTGTATGGCACCAACTCAGATCTCCAGGGAAGAGTATTGGTTTTCTCTGGGCCTTTTTTCCCTTCTCCTCTTTACGGGTCATAATAATGGACGTTGCACGGCCTTTATACACGAAAGTCTTGACAGCATTTTGGGTGCCAAGTCAGATGTTTTATCTCACGACACGTTTGCACTTATTTAATGAAGTGGCTAATAAGTAAATGGAATTAAGTTCCTGTGTAAAATGATATATTAAATATTATCGTGGGAATAACCAGAAGGGGCTGAGGGCAGGGGTAGACACTAAGGGTAACATTCTCACTGGCCCCACCATGTGACCACTGGCCCGGAGCATTCGTCCAAAAGAATCGACTAATAATGAAGAAAATGAACACATTTGTTGCCATAGTCATTTATGCTACAACTACTTTACTACAACATTTGAATCATCAGTTCTTCCTCATTTTCCTCAATTGTTCATATTAGGTTTATTAAAATAATGATATTGTGGTCATTGTTAAAAAATGTCTGCTATTATTATGAGTATTATTATTTGTATAATGCGCTTTCTGCCTTCCTGTCATTAGGAGTTAGACATGTAATGGCTATGTAACAGATTATATTAGAACCTTCATTCTCCTAATCTTCTGGGACATTTCCCTAAAGTCTGTAGTTAAGGAGCGCGCTCCCACACGGGAGACTGCTGCACTGCGCTCGGCTCCGCAGCAAAAACAGCTGTTTGCTTTTCACCCAACAACGGCCTCACGAAACGCTATGTTGTAGCGTTAATAAACGAAACTATTGAACAAAATTGCTTGTCAAAATACCTATACCACAGGACCATTTGTTTTTTTTTAAACAATATTTTTAGTGGCCCGAGCGGGCAAGTGCAAAGTACGTTATGCTGGCCCGGGGTGTCTGAATAGTGCTGACGAGCCAGCGGGCCATTTATAATGTCGAGCCCTGAAGGGGTTAATAGTGTTTTTGTCAGCTTATGGTGATAAAGAGCTAGACACATACCAGCTCCACCAGCTTCTCCAGGAAAGGGACCAGCTTCAGAAGCTCGTTGTCATTTCTATCCACAAACCAGCTCTCTATAGGGATTCCATTGGAAAGCTGCAAAAGACACAGTATCTGTGCTGTAGCATCACTGAGTCAAAAGTCAAATACAACTTATATTTCAAAAGGATTAATCAAGTAGATAAAGACTTGTTACCTGATAGGCGAAGGCTTGGGGTGAGTTGTCGATTATTATGGTCTTGGAAAGATCCCGTCCCAGAATGTTTAGGTCTTTAATGTAGTTTCCTTGAACACACACACAGTGCTCACGAAATAGCCTATGTCTAAAAACAACAAAAACATTTCTCAGTTAATACATTTTCAACAAGTTCTTTAGATCAAACAAAAAGGAAGTGACAGCATAATCTCCTTGGTGTCGAATGTTTAAAAAGTCTATTCTGGATAAAAGCATTGCGTATTAAATGTGTTGATTATCCTCACTTGTTTTTAAAAACAGTATAATCATTTTGCCCTGTTGCTTTAAAGTTAAGTGACTAGAATTTACACTTCTACTTACGGGGACAAGACTTCATAGAAAGTATAAAGCAGCTAAAGGATTAGTGCCTTATTTGAACAGAGATTGTTTGCTTTCCGATGCATAACCAGTTCTTCTCATTTGTTCATTGGACA